TTGGGTTGATATAAAATGGATTGGAATGGATTGGAAAATGAAAACGAATGAAACAAGCAAAATTGGGCACACCTATTGGTAGAACTTTTTGTTTTTCTACCGGTAGATGTGGCCTAGTAGGCAGCTTCTACTAGTAGGTTTAGCTGGTAAAAATTTTCTAGTAGGGTTCTCCTATCGGTAGAACGTCACTATTTCCACCGATAGAAGAATTTCAATAGGCAATTTCTACCAATAGAACTTTTAGCACTTCTGTCGGTAGGTTTTCTCTAAACTTCAAATTTTTGAAATATTTTACTAAGATCTTGGGCATTGATTCCTTGTGCTCAAGGAGGTTGTATGGGATATTAATGACTATGATTTGATGTGCAAAGGCTACACGTGTGGGTTAAGATCCTGGTTAAGGGGATGTTGTTGACGTGACGTCAGATTGTGCTACGATCACGGGTACTTTCGCAAGTCGATAAGTGATCAATGGTTAATAAAGGACCACTGGTTTTAGTGGAATCACAACAACGATGGCCAAGTATCTAAGGGGTATAAATAGGGGAGAAAATTCATATTTTCTCCCCATTACCCATTAGATTTTCAAAAAAGAGAGAGGGAAGAAGAGAGAGAATGTAAGGGTTTCTTCAAGCCTTTTCTTCCAATTTAGGACCAACTCTTGCCCGAAATCCTTCGGGCTAAGAACTAAAGTTCATCTACTCGACAAGGGCTACGTCAACATACCAAAAATTAGGGATTTCGCCAAAGTCTCAATGGTTGGATTTTTGGAAATCAAGGATTAAAGCTTGATTTGGATACTTAGGAGTTTTCTACTGCTCAAATTATGCTTTAAGAGGTAGGGTTCGTTTCTTAACTAGGTTTATTTCCAAATTAGGGTTGAAATATGAAATAGTTAGGGTGTAGAGATGTAATCTAATGTATGGCACATACCCATGGTAGTTTGAATTTAAAAAAATGGGTATAAGAATGGTTAAAATCAATTTTAGCATGAATTGAGTTTGTTGAAATTACTTATTTGTTATTTCTTGAGTAATGTGGTGAAAGAGGCATGCTATGTGTTTATAATTATGTCTTGAAAGGTGTTTTATGAAATTTCTACATTGATTAAGTGTGTTAATTGCATTGACGATGTTATAACATGCTTTGGTGAGGTTGTTGATTGTGATTATATGCTTATGATGTAAATGACCATGGAAAATGTTGATGGATATTGAAGTTGTTCATATTGTGCTCATGACATGATGAACATGATGTTGTAATTACAATTTGAATCTTGGTTGCATAATGATATAAACTACAATTGTACATTATATTACATGTGCACGGGAAATATCACATTCGGGGGCATGTGACATAGGTGTGGGTTTGTGCATGTTTTTGGATCAAACACCATTCTTGGTGGTTAAGACGTGGACTCAAGAAGGTTTGACCTAGGTCTGACTGAGTTACATGGGTTTCATGGAAAAACTTGTGTCATGTATAGCAAGAAGGGTCAGACTCTCTCTCGAGTGCAAGACCCGGTTACTAGTTTATACACTTCCGACGATGAAAGTCCAAAAAAGTGTATTGGTGTACGTGGAACCGGAGGTGGGATACCAAAATTTTTGTCAGTGTTGTGGACTGTTGATGCAAGTCCAAGAAATCACCTACCCAAGAAAGACACGTGGTTCATTTTATAAAATAGTCATTAAATGTGCAACATCAATGGGAGGGCTTGGAATGTCCAGATTCATACACATGGCATTGCATGTGTTTTGGGAGCCAGTGAAGGCTCGAGGTGAATTGTATGTGTGAGTCTCATCTCATAACATGGCATGGCAATAGAGAATTCCATTATGAATTGCATTTTCTAAAATGGATTGTTTGTTTGATTGTTGAATTTGCATGTGATCATTTCATATACATCTAGGTTGGGGAGTAACTTCTTTAGAAAATTCACTATTGAGCGTGGCTCACTCTTTATGGGGACAACATTTCAGGTGTGGGACTAGCACCGGTGGATGGCTCTCACTTGTGCTCTCATTCATGAAGAAAAGCTGTGATATGACTTTAAATTACGTTTTTATAAAACAAATATATAATTTAGTTTTGGACATGTAATATTATATAAAGGATTATAAAACAAACTCATATGGACTATGTTTTGTGTAAAATTGTATGTTATATGAGTTTGGGTGAATGTTGTATGAAATTAGATGAATTGAAATTGAAAAAAGGATTGAATCAGGGAAAATTGGGCACTTCTATCGGTAGAACATTGGTTATCTACTGGTAGAACAATTCCAATAGGCACTTCTACTGGTAGAACGTCGAGTATCTACTGGTAGAAGAATTCCAGTGAGCACTTCTACTAGTAGAACATTGATTATCTACCGATAGGTCCCCCTAAATTTTTAAAAAATTAAAATACTTTTTTCAAGCCTCTGGGCCTTGAGTCCTTTTGCTCAAATGAGGTGAATGGAGTAAAAATTAAGGTAAATTGATATATATTAGACCTTGGAATGATCAAGTGATTGAATGGTGTATATGTTATGCATTTGGGAGTGCCCAGTACAAGGGAGACTTTGCCCAAACTCTGTGTTGGTTAAATTCCTGGTGAAGGGAATGTTGTGACGTAGTGTCGGGTTATGTGGTATTCATGAGTATTTTCGTAGGTTGATAGATTATCAATGGGTTGATAAAGACCCTCGGTTTTAGGGGCCTTACATTAAGAATCTATTTTGTTGTTTTTGTTCCTTAGTTTGATGTTTGCCAGAGACTAACAAAGCTTAAGTTGGGAGAGGGGGTGTTGAGTGATCATTCTTGCATTATTTCACAGCTAACATATTCACTTGAGGCTTGCTAGTAGATTTAACTTGCTTTGATTTGCTTGTTTTGTGATTTATGCATTGATTTCGTGATTACAAGTAGTCTAGGTGTAAAGGTAGATGAGAAGCATCATAATAATGGCTTTGTACAAGTTAGAGTTAAAGTTTATCCACTAAAAGTGAAGCCGGAGGCCTTGGAGAAGAAATTCAACAAAAGATAAGTTCTATAGCTCGGAGTGTGCTAAATTGAAGAATCTATCGGTAGAAATTGGGTTATGCCAGTATGAATGAAGACAATGTGAAAGCTACCGGTAGGTTATCTCTCTAGAATTAAAAGTAAAATATTCTACCGGTAGATCATGCAATAGAATAAGATTCGACCGGTATATATCAATGTTCTACCGGTATGTCGACAACAGATTTGATGGGAAACTCAAATTTGAGTCTGATTTTGCCATATCTTTTGAGGATTCTCTACCAATAAGAAGAAAATATATTTTAGGAGAAGATATTCCTTACATTCACCATAAATAGGAGATTTTGGCTGAGGAATGGGGATCGCTGAATTGCTTATCTTTCTTTTTCTCTTCAACTTTTCTTTGTCTTTTTCCTTGGCAACTTTTCTTTAGTTATTTCTTTGTCTTTATTTCAAGTATTAGTATTTTCAAGTCCAAGTCAATTTCATTCAGTGTAATCAATTCTAATACAACGATTCAATATAAGGAATTTTACATTCAAGTTCTTATTTCTTTCTAGTCAATCTTTATTTTTTTTGAATTCAATTATCTCTTTCTCAATGCTTTGCTTTAATTTCATCGTCATGAGTGAGTAGTTTCTTTTCCAGATAATCAGAGAAAGAAAACAATCTATGGACCAGGGTTTACATTCTAAACTAGGTTTCTATGATATATGTGATTTAATGATTGAATACTTGCTTTCGAAAACCAAATTGATTGACCATATCCTTTGTTATTTGTATACAATTGGTTTTAGTACAAGCAATACTTGGAGTTCCTGCAATCAATTGGACTTGCATTCTTCCAATAAATCTATTTTTCATCAAAATCACTAGTTTTTACTAATTAATGCTTTTGGTTGAATATCATCCGTCTGGGGGAGTTTGATTATGAACTTGGATGAGTTTAACAAAGAAGTCATATTCCTCTGAGTTTTTGGCTGCCTATTATTTGTTTGCAATATTAGCTAAATCTTTTCGTTAGTACCTTTCACTAATTCCTCTCCAACCTTAGCTTTCCTTTTCCTAATCTTTGCCTCATTCTAGGTATCTTTAATCTGTCCTGGCATATCAGAGTCCAAGGATTTCTTCTTTTTGCATTCATCATCTATATGGCCTTGTTTGTAGTAGATTGAACAATACTTAACCTCTTTCTCATACACAATTTTCTGCCAACCCCCATATCCAACCATACCCTTTGAGGGTTATCCTCCAATATGTTCATCTCAATGCATGTTCTAGAATAATTGGCCTTGCTAAATTCATTGTAGGCTTATCAAAAGCCAAAATTCATCCCACAAGACTCAGAATAGATGCAATACATTCATTGGTGAATAAATACATAGGTAGTGATTAGAGAGACACCCACATAGATAGGGATAGTTGAGGGCTCCACTCCAAGAGTAAAATCTAAAACCCACTTGAAGAATCGAAAGAGATAGCCCTCTATATACATTACATCCTTTAACCAGGCCCTCTCATAATCCTCAAACAGACTAAATCTCATCACTTTGTGCCTTGGATCCAAATGCCTAACAAAGGACTCACCTTTTATGTTCCATTTTGTATTAATAAACTCTCTTATTACCTCAAGCGATGGCCTTCCATTTGTACACTTAGCTATTAACAATTGTTGGAAGGGCTTTTCTAGATCATTCGTCTCTTCTTTGGACCAGAAGATAATATGTTGGCTTTCATCAAAAATAGCTTCTTCTTTTTTTGGTTCAAAATCTGTGGTAGGGTTGTTGAAATTTGTTGAAGGTTTGTTGGAAGCAGTGATTTGTGGTTGTTTAACCACAAATGCAAAGGTTTTTGGCAAATCAGGTGGCTTTGGTTTATTCAAAAAGATAGATTGTTCCAAACTCATGGTGGAAATTCTAGAGAGAAGTTAGAGTTTCTCTCTCTAGAATCAAATGGCTGCCCTTTCTAAACCCTAATATCTAACCCCTAAAATCTTAATCCCTAAATCTAGATTTAGATCTAGTATTATGACCTAAGCTAGGAACTACTGTGTCTAGTGCAAGGCCAGTTGATTTATCCCCATTCCAATCTTTGGATTCATTTTGTTCCTCCTCTCTTGAGAACTTACCCTCAGAATGGAAACCTCTATTGGGAGGTTCCCTACTTCTCGCTAGCCCCTTATCATCATCCACAATAACCCCCTGTCCACTACAATCTACAAATTGGTAATCTACAATCAAGTTATTCAATATTTCGAATAAATCCCTAAATTCAAAACTACCTATTATCCAATAAAAAACCTAAAATTCCTAATAATAAACAAAAATCCCTGACATGATTAGTTAGTCCCCATGAATCAAAATAATACTAGGTTCCTTGGCTATCTTTGACTGCTTGGCCTCTACCCCTCTTTATCATGGACACCATCTTTAGGAATTATCTTCCTTTTCTGCTTAAATTCCTTTCTTTGTCCCCTCCTTGGGTGGTCTTGAATGAATTTCTTCCCCTTACTTTCTTGTTGCTATGACTCTCATTTATATTTATGTTGTTGTTGTTGTATACTCTTAGAAACTTCTCCTGGGTCGCCTACCTCGGCTTTCTTCATCTTTCTGCATTCTCCAATTTCTTGGCCCTGATTTAAGTACAATAATTATTCTTTTTCTCATATATTATCATATATCAATGCCCAATTGAAGAGCAGTTTTATCTATTACAAAAATTCTCCCCACTGGGCTTAAATACATCCTTTAAACACTCAGGCTTAAACAGATGGATTAGGAGCCCTAGAATGGAAATCCACATGGGCATAATTAATGGCTCTACCCTAGGAGAAAATTTTGGGAAACATTGGAAGAACCTGAATAAGAAACCCTCAAATATAAGTAGCATCTTTTAGCCAAGACCTCACATAGTCCTCATAGAGATTAAATCGAATGAGAATATTTCTTGGATCCAAAGTACTAATCTGGAAATCACCCTTTACAGCCCATCTTGTAGTAATAGATTCACTAATAACACCCAAAGATGGCTTCCCATATGCACACTCACTATCAAGGTTTGGTTAAAATTTTCACATAAGGTTGGAGGTTCTTTATTAAGGGGGTTTGTTGTGGAACGACTTTTATATTTTAAATTGGTTGTTGCACAAGCTTAAGATTAGATTATGACTCATTCTAAGGAGTTTGTTGAATCTGATGATTATTGAATTGTTGAATAGGGAAGCAAAATTCTTGGCAAGGTCTCATGGTTTTGGAAGAATCATGGTGTGATTTTGTTCAGACATCATGAGTTTTGGTAGAAATTCTAAAGAGAAGGTAAAGCTTCTCTCTCTAGGATGCTTGTTCTTTGCCTGTCTTTCTAAACCCTAAACTCTAAACATAAAAATTGGTTCAATTCCATATTCAAATTCTAGAAAACATTTGGAAAAATGGAAAAAATTGCCATTGATTTGTACTTTATCTTTCAAATCCACTTTAATAAAGTCTTCACGAAGATTAAACGTAAGAATCATTTTTCTCCTCCTTAGCCCAGATTACTATGTGTTCACCATTGTTGAACACCACCCAATAAACAACAATAACATTCTACCCAAAAACAATTGCAATAGTGTCTTCTGTTTGTGAGAATAAAGATGTAACTATAGTCAAGTGCTATAAGTTTTGAGATCTGGAAAGCAAAAAATCAAAGATTGTTGATTGTAAGTTAAAGAAAGGTGGAGACTTCCACGGTTAGGTGGTTTATGTGGGATTTGATGATGAAGGTAAAGCTTCCTTCTCTAGAGTCTAAACCCTGAATCCTAAACTCTAATCCTTAAGGGCGTATTTGGTTCGTTGGATTAGATAGGATAGGATTTGAAATTTTTAGCCTACCCAATCCAACTTAATCAAGGGATTGACAAGGAAATGAAATTATTCATATCCAAATCTATGTTTGGTTAGTACATTTAAAAACACAAATTTGAAACTTTTTTATTTTAATCTTACCATTATATCCCTTAAACAATCCAATCAAAACTTTACCACAAGTTATAACAATCTTCTCCATCAAAACAAATAAAAATTGTAATTCTAAGCAATTATTTCTCATAACCTTACCCAATTTTTTTTTTACAATTGCAAGCTTTCATAGGGAATGGTTGCTTGGCTATAACTAGCAGCCAAGAGACAACCAGCACAAGCCCAATTCAGGATCAATAACAAAGAACCAAGGATCTAATCTAACTCACCAACTTCACTTCAAAGCATCAGAAGTTCATAAGGTGCATGTTAGAGCAGCGATCACCATGAAAACCTAGCAGTAGAGATCACCGAGTAGAAAAAGTCCACAAGAGCACCCTAAGAAGTTGAACGACCAGCATCGAGAATCAACCCCCAAACAGTGATGAATCTATCAGCCCAATAGCGACAAATCAACAAATGCTCCACACAAACTTATTCAAGAAGCTTCAAATCTTCTAATCAAGGCTCAAGAAAACCAAATCATATCTAAGGGAACATAAAACTCATTGAAATCTTGTATCGCAATTTTTGTGGATCTATATCTTAAAAAATATCCAAAAAATAAAAAAACCCTCCTAGTGGGTTATAATTAACCCAAGCATAATGGATAAAAGAAACTGTGTATATTGGGTCAAGGATGCTTGCTTGTTTCCGTTGTAGTATATCCTAACCTCCGAACATCATCACCCAATGCGTATAGTCTATGTGCAAAGGGGAGTGTCACTCTCCCTTGGAATGATGTCAAAAGAAAGGGCAATGGAATGGTGGCTAAATTAAATGTATGAAGTGTGTGTGTGAACAAAAATGCTCCCCAAGCGCAGAGAGACTTTTGCTTGTCGTGTTTTACTTGGAATTGTATTCCAAGGTCATCTCCTCAAGGAAGGAGGTGTATCATCATGAAGGTGATTTTTTTTGTAAAAATAAAGTGTAAAATCTTTTGTTGGTTGAATGTTGGTTTGTGATTGTGATGAAATTGAAATCGAACAAATGTTGGCTAATCCAAAGGGTTCACTCCAATGGGAATATCAAGTCAACTCGAATCCTTCCTCCAATAAAGCATAGATGTACGATTGATTTGTGGAAAGCTAGGGACGAAATGGAAGTGAGGATCCAAGCATAACCCGTGACAAGTCTACAGGATATCAGAGACTCACAAATCCCATCCACCCTCTACCCAGTCAAACCGATCCATCGTACTCTAAGAGGAGGAAGGAAAATGAGTTGAAATGGCATACCCAAGAGGAGGTGTGACACCCCTAGAACCGGGGGTCTCGTTGACCACCTGTCAACCCGCGAAAATGCCTGTGATTATCACATGATCCGACACCACGTCAATAGTTTCCCATTTACCAGAATTTTAACTCACACGTGAAACCCGTGTACCTTTATCATTGTATCTAACCATGGCCCAACGTACCATATTCCATTCTCCATTATAGTCCATTTACATCATAGGAACTAAAGGATGCATAACCCAAAGGCCTGGAAGAAAGATTTAAAAAAAAATTTAAAATTTGCCAAAGTGTACCGGTATGGGTTGCTCACTGGACCTTACCATACCGATACGCGTACTAGTACGTTGTATCCTCTGGACCTCGTCGTACCGGTACGCGTACGCTGTGCCCATTTTCCCTGTTTCACCTATTTTACATTTCAAATCCAATTTTAAACATTCCAACATCATCTCAAACATACATAATGATGTTATTCACATAAAACATGATATCTACAAATTCTATTACAAGCTATTTACACGATTACAAGTCAAAATAGAATTTCAACAAAAGTTTTTACACCAAACTTGTATTCAAAAGCCACAACTCGGCTTTTCTTTACCCAAGAGGCCCCAAATGCGAGATGTCCGCTGGAGTATGTCCCGCACCTAATATGTTTCCCGCATAGGGTGAGCCAACGCTCAGTAGAATATTTCCTACAGAGGCTATTCCCCAACCTAAGTGCATATGCAATGTTCACATGCAATATTTTCCAACAACAATCATTCCAACCAAGATTTAAGCAAATCCAAATTGGAATCTAACATAACATGCCATGAAATGAAATGATACCCATTCATGCAATTTACCCGAGCCCTTCCCGACTCCACAACACATGCAATGCCAATGTGTATAAAATCGAGCTTTTCTAGCTCCGGCCTTTTACCTTCACCCGATACTATGCAGTGAATATCAAAATCGGGCTTTCCAAGCCCCCCGCCATTGGTGTTACACACCCAATGACTATTTGAAACCTCTGAGTCTTTCTTGGGGTGGGTATTTATAGACTTACACCAACGGTCGCCCAACTGACACCGAATTCATGGACTTTCACCAACGGTTCCACGTACACCGACACACTTTATGGGCTCTTATACCAACAGAAGTGCATATCCGAACACCGGGCCTCTCACCCGAGGGATAGTCTAACCCTTCTTACTAACCCCGACCAAATCCTTTTTCATGTGACCGTGCGACTCAGCCGGATATTCAATCCAATTTTTTTGAGCCCATCCATCATCCACCTACGTGGTGTTTGATGCCAACCATGCACTCGCACCCATAAAATGCAATGTCTCCGTGCATATGCAATGTAATGCCCCATTTCTATATCAATGTCATGCCCACATGTAACGAATGTCATATGCACAAGTTCCATAGCAATGTATATCCAAAGCATATAATCACCAAACTTTCTCATAATGCTATATATATATATATATATATATATATATATATATATATATCAACATTTCATTTTCAACAACAATTCACAAGCATGCTATTATATAACATATGCTAACAACATACTTAATTCTCAAGGCATAAAATAAACACATAATATGCCCACATAACACTCAATTCCTGTAACGCCCCAAATACCATCCTGGACGACATTACAAACTAAAAATCATTCACATCATGAGAGAAACTAAATAATTCTTACATAAAAAAATTTCATACATCAAAGGTAATCTTTACAATCTCATTCCCAAAAGAATGCACCAAAACATGACGAATATATCCCCAAAAGAATATGATCCCAAAAGTAAGATAATTACATCCCAAAAATTTACTATCATAGCGCAGCGGAATAACAAAAGAAAGTGTCGCTCTAAGCATCCATCTCGGGATTCACGCTCCCGTCTATCAGAGTCTCCCAGTGCTCGGGCTCCTCGACTCCCTGCTCTTCCTCGAGAGGATAATCTG